CAGATCCCATAGAACCCAAAGATCCCATAGACTCTAAAGACCCCACAGACTTCACAGACCCCAAAAACCCCACAGACCCCATAGATCCCATACATGCCATACACACCCCAAACACCGCACAGACCCCACAGACATCACAGATCTCAAAGACCCCAAAGATCCCATAGAACCCAAAGACCCCATAGACCCCAAAGACCCCATAGACCCCAAAGACCCCACAGATCCCATAGACCCCACAGATCCCATAGACCCCAAAGACCCCACAGACCCCATAGATGCCATACACACCCCAAACACTGCACAGATCCCACAGATCCCATAGAACCCAAAGACCCCATAAACCCTAAAGACCCCACAGACATCACAGACCCCAAAGACCCCACAGACCCCAAAGACCCCACAGACCCCAAAGACCCCACAGACCCCAAAGATCCCACAGACCCCACAGACCCCACAGACGCCATACACACCCCAAACACTGCACAGACCCCACACACCCCAAATACCCCGCAGCCCCCCAACACCCCGCAGCCCCGCAGCCGCCGCCGCTCACCGCTCTCGACCAGCAGCGCCCTGGCCGCGCTCTCCCTCACGCAGTGCCGCAGCGCCGCGGTTCTCAGCTGCGCTCCCAGCAGCGCCGGCCGCGCGCCGACGGCGATGAGCGCCAGCCAGGCGCACACGAAGGCGGCGCCGTTGCGGGCCAGGAGCCCCACCGCCACGCGCGGCCCCAGCCGCTCCCCGCCGCCCCCCGGCAGCGGCCGCCCCCGCAGCGCCGCCGCCATCCGCGCCACCGTCCGCGCCGCCTCGCCGTAGCGCACGGTCCCGTCCCGCAGCCGCAGGAACGGCTTCCGCGGCGCTTTGCGGGCTTCCTCCAGGAACCGCGCGGCCAAACTGCGCCCCCCGCCCCGCAAAAGCCGCCGGCGGCACCGCGCCGCCCGCACCACGAACGCGGCGTCGGCGCAGAGCGGAGCCCAGCGCCGCCTCCAGCGCAGCGCCAGCGCGGCCGCCGCCAGCGCGACCAGCAGCGCGAGCCACGGCGCCATGGCCGACCCCGCGAC